TGATATATATATACATATATCTTTATTCAGATACAAGATTATATTGTAATACTCCGAAATTGAGATGAGAATTATATTTAAGAAAAATATCGCATCAGGGCAGAAACACGGAGCGGTAGCAGGTGCAGAGTGAATATTTTTAGATTAATTTAAAGCATAATTAATAAATGTAGATTTATAATTCTTCATTCAAATTTTTGTTTAATTTTGCTTTGTGGCAATTGACCAAATGAAAATTTTACAACAATTCTTACCACTCGAAAAAGCGAATTCGTTGCATTACTCTTTCCTGATACAGTCGATGTACTACAATCCGCGCTGGATATACTTTTATTATCTAAAAATCTATCGGACTTCTCAATAATAGCTCCTTTCACTTTACTGTCGAATTTTGGATCATATGCGCCAGGCGGAGGTGCATCATCTGTGAAATCGTACACATAAATTAGACAAAACCAAGATATCTGGGTTCAATCTCTCTTTTCGAGTGCAATTAATATTATCGTTATTATAACATGAATGTATACGAATAGTCATACACATTTTGTGATCGAATTACATTTTAGTGAGATAGAAAGAATTACACGTTACATTCTTACAATTTTCGATATTCCCAATTTCTCAAAAAGATTACATATCTACTAAAAATAATGCACAAAATTGAAAGAGTAAAATTAATAAAAATAAAAACAAGTCCCGATGTAAAAAAATTAGCAAATCAATCATTGAGATAAAGATTTACTAATTCCATTTGTGTATCATAGAATATGAAGATTTAAATACGAAGTGTTCCTGGGTAAGTAATGTTGCGTAATCGATAGGACTTGCGTAGCATGTTGCGACGACAAAGGAGAGGTAAGACGGCTAAATGGACTTCCTTTTGGCGCAACGTATCGAGGAGGAACAGGCGCAAATGGGAAAGACAGCTGTTCTGAATGCAAGGGACACATCTCTGTGGGGTAGTAGAATAACCAGGTGTAGACAGCAACGTTCTCTGCTATTACCCCATCGCCCCGTCTCATGTCTCCATACGCGATAAAATGTCTCCTTTTATCTATCGCGCGCTTTCTTACACAAGGGGAGATCGATATATAAGAAATTTAAAGGCAGACGTAGCGATATGTATAGGAAGATAAGATATAACAAATAAAATATATTATGTATACTGTCTAGCTTTTTACTTGAACACAGCTATGTATACACCAGAATAAGGAAGCTATGAAAAGAACAAATATAACAAGCAAAACTATAACTATAATTAGGAAATAAATAAATATTGTTAATGATAAAAAGATTAAAGATCGCGGATAAATCTTGGCAATCATTATATATCAGAAAATATCAAAAAGTATTATTGTTAGTCAAAATTTATAAAAATGTATACAATTGATGTATATAATATATAACATAAATAAATAAAATGAAGAAACAGATATCAGTTCCTAATTCCTATTGTGCATAAAACGTTAATTTACATGAGATCGGATTTTATTTCTTATCTTTCACATCTTAATCTGACATTTTATTGACCCAATTAATTGTGATTACAAAAATATACGTGAAATTTTTTACAATTCAATACATATACATTTCATTATTTAAAATTCGCAAGATAGAAAATTTTGACTGTACTAATTTATAAAAACTGCTAAATGTAGTTTTATTTATGTAGGTTGTATTTGTGTGTGCGTTCGCGCGAGCACTTATAAATTTTTTTCAATTAAACTGAAATTAACGTCTAACACTTTTGTAATATATTTATAATAATCTATTAAAAATATATTTATTTATTTATTTATAATGTATAATAAGTGGAATCATTCGTATCTACTTTTTGTATTATTACGATACATAATTATTTATAATAATTTTATATACGATGGAAAAACATGTTACTTACGATTAGATTCGATTCGAAAAAAAAATATATTTTACTTGCAAAAATATAAATGTACAGCAAGGGTATCGCACATCAAAAAACAAGACACAAATCTATTTTATAAATATAAACATATTTGAAATATTTTTTTTGTAATATATTTATTATAGTTTTATTTTTCAGATTTTAATTTTATGTATAAAATAACGTTGTGTAATAAAATAATTAAATTTATGGAAATATCTATTTTTTTAGATAATGTACAAAATAAAATTTTAAAATAAAAATATTAATTCATAAATTTATCTTACAACAAAAAAAGCAAACTATTAAGAATACAATAGAAAATGTACAAAATGATTAAAGAATTGCATGTCTCGCGTGAAACTCAACGTTAGGAATTTCCCGCCATAATGCATTTACGCATACTTATGAAAATTTTGCAGGACAAGAATAATCCAAATAAATCCCAGAACATTCTCGACTTATTTTATAGAAATTTATTGCAGCAAAATTTTTGTCTTTAACTGTATTTAACATAGATATTAATGTTAATTCAATGTTATTATTATAAACAGAAAGCTTTTTCTATATCAAAACTTTACAAGCTGAAATAATATATATTGCTATATACACAATATAATACACAATTATAATTACTTATGCGACAAATGCACAGAAACCGCCAATAAAATGAATATCTCGTGTATTATCATACTTAGAGATAGACATACGGCGTATAACGTTCTTTCCAATTTTTTTATAATTTTGTAAAGTTGTATTTTCATGCATATAGTTTAAGAAGGAAAATTGTCACTCCCGATTTTTTTTATTTTCAAACTTTTCAATGATGGTAAATTAGAAAATGATATTTTAATGATAATTTATAACTGCATATTTTCCATATTCTCTGCTCTAATTAATCAAAAAAACAATTATTTTCTTATATAATTTAAATTATAACAGAGAATAATTTGTAATTTAAAATCTACATATCTTCTTCATTTCTTTTATTGGATTTAAATATCAAAAACCTTCGAAAATTTAAAAAAAAAAAAAAAAAAAAAAAAACGAAAACCTGAGCGACGATTATCCTTCTCAGAATATATTCTATCGCATAAAATACACATCGCATAAAAATACACAAATTTACAAAATTACAGAAAAATCGTAGAAGAGAGAGAGTGTTACACTGCATATTTATTATATTTTTTTCGCATTCTGAAAATCCGATAGTATACGGAAATTTCATTTCGAAATTTAAGACACGTGGAGATCAATGAGAAACCGTCGGTGCAACGTTTAATCAGCCGAAGCAAAATCAGTCGGCGTGCAATACACAGGCCCGTACTTGCCACAAAAAACAACTTACTTCCAAGTTCGTTAAACCGTTGTATTTTCGCCTTGGAGAAGGACATCTCGTATCACGTGCTTTCGCCTGCCGATATACTTTCGAAACAACAATATCTACTAAATTTGCTGTGCATTCGTATGCAAAACATGCGCGCGCGCGACTAAGAGCCGCGCCGTTATGACTTACGACGTTGCACTACCGCTTTCCGTTGCCGCTCCTGCTCGCGCAACGAGAAAACCATGCGAACCACGCTTGATCGCATCGAACACTGGGCCGCTTTCAGCCACGATCCCTCGGCCGACACACCGGTTATAATTTCGATTTAAAACGACAGTTACTCGAACTCGACGATTCGTCGAGTGTGCGTGTGGAAGTAGCCAATCAGAGCATGAGCGCACGGAAACGTGACCCGGAAACGTTGTATCCTTCGAAGCTACGATCGGGATCCGGTCAGATTTTAGGGTGCCGTCATATGTGGCGTAACTTGCGTAAGTGTAATCTGCGTATTTTAGTATTTTACTAAAACACGTCATGCCATTCTGAAAGTCTTCTTTCATATAGAACGTATTTTGCAGAATTTCGAGAAATGCGTAATTAATATAACCAATTGCTGATTAGGGCTTCTGTTGTACTCTCTAACAGAAATGCTAAACTAATTTATGATTGATTTTTGAAATCTGCGTATCTGGAAAAGTACGCTTCATGGGGAAGAGATTTTATATACGAGTATGTGTACGAATAATGGCTTCAGAAGTCATCGTGGAACTTGACTTGTTGTTATTAATAATATGGAGCGATGGCAAAAGTGGAAAAATATGAAATAATCTCAATAACAAAAAATTAGACGGTGTAATATATTAAAAATGTTGGAATATGGAAACTAATGATATACCAACAGGAATAAGCTCGTCATAGAATGTGGATGCGTCCGATATTCATAAAAAGATGAAGATTATTATAGGGTGACAGTCTCGTCAAAGAAATAGAATTTGAAGATTATGAAATGTTCTACAATTATTGTAGAATGTCCACAGAAATGTTCAATCAGTTGTTAAATATTGTTGTAGAACAAGCCTAATGCGTCGTGCGTCGTGTGTGGGTCATGGGCCAATCACAATCAAGTGTTTTCCCTACGTCTGTGATTGGTCAATTCTTGTGACTTGCGGCATGCAACATATTGTAGAACAAGCCTAAAACTGATTGCACACAAGACGCGGCAAAGTGGCAATGCAGTAATTAACCATCTTGTTTTCTAATATGTAACGAAGTTCCTTTGTAGAAAGATTTTTCCTTTATTTTACTTTTAAACACCCTAATGATTAATTTTATTAACTCATACTTATGATTTTCTAATCATATTTATAATTTTCTAATTATTTTCTAATAATTAATTTTAAAACAAATGTGCTTCAAAGTTTTTAAAAATTACATATGCATAATTCTGAAATCACATCATTTGTAATATGCATATTTATATTTTTAGATTTTAATTTATCAGAATTATACAATAAAAAATAAATTAAATATCATGAGATACGATAGTGTCTCGGATGTCAAGTCAACCGAGAACACTGCCGTGTGATTTTAAGTGAGTCGGCAAGATGCGAGCATCCGAAATTATCGGATCTCAATAACAGTTAAACCGATCAAATTCTATATAGGCTTCTTATAGGATCGATAGCTTGTGTTCGACTTGCACAATAAAAGTATTTTTCTGCTACGTGCTCCACAAGCGGAGATATTGCTACGCAAAGTCCGATTTGGAAATTTTTACTTTAAGAAACGTCGTCATTATCGTCGTCGCCCGATTCTCATCTACGGTTACAATTTCTGTCACAGAGGCGCCACTGTCCAATGTACACGCACCGGCGGGAATGGCTGTGCGCTCGGCGCGCTATACATACACACGTGTACTCCGCGGAGCACGAGGAAAATCGTGGAGCGAAAGGAAAAAATAGTGAGGACAATTCGATGTTGCATCCTTAACGTAAGATGCACGATCGAGAAAAAAAACATAATCGGACGTGATTTCGATACCGATTTCGATGTCCCTTTGCTATCTCACACACTCGACGCTAGTGCGAGTAAGAGACTATCTCTATCTGTCGCATTTTTCTTTCTTTTCCTTCCTGATTCTTTCTTTTCCTTTCCTTTTCTGATTAATTATTGATTATTCAATGGTTATTTATTTATTTAATTGATTATTCAAATATGATTATTAATTATTTAATAATCGCGTAATAATTCTTTTATTATATATTTTAAAAAAAGTTATGTGTAAAATTACAACTATTATTGCAGGTTTAAACATTGAATGTCTTACAGCTATCTCAAGCAACCGATATTGAAAATTATTTAAAAAAATAATGAATTCGCGAAACTGTATTCAAAAATAAGGAAGATTATATTCAATAAAATAAAAAGTTATTAGTAAATAAAAATGTGAAAATCAAAATAAATATTTTCGAAATAAATACTATGTTGTAAATTTAAAATTTGAATTTCCAATAATGTATTATAAAAAGTATTATTTCTATACGTATAAAAGTATTATTTCACGTTACATTATATCGTATCATTTCTATACACTTACATTTAATTGTAAATGTAATCCTACAATTTTATAGCACTAGTTTATTTGCACATTGCAAATTTAAAAAT